GCCGGTATGAGACTCGAACCCGCAACCTTTGGGTTATGAGTCCGACTCTCTAACCATTAGGCCACAACTTCCCTTAGCATGGAAATCTAACTAAATACTTTTTTGCAAGCAACATATGGCTTATATCGTATGAAAATACAGTTATTCACACATCACGTGTCTAATCCCAAGCTCTTTTTATGCAACGATTGTAATAACTGACAACTGTGGATAGATAGATAGGTAGATAGATAGATAGATAGATAGATAGATAGATAGATAGACAATGAGTGTGTTATTGTGTGAGTCTCAGCTCCTAATTGTATTGATTGGTTCAGTTGATGTCATGTGGTCTCATCAGCAGTTAATGTCAGAGTGACTGGATTGAAAATATGAACTGCTAAAACAAATAAAGACTCAATTTACTGATAAAGTCAATAATTATCCAGTCAATTGTATTCATCAATGTCCCGTGAACAAGAGTTCTGTTGAAATATATATCGGCCAAATTTCACTTACAGTACATGAAAAAAAATTCCATTCAGTATTTAGAAACCATCCACAACATCTTAGCGTCACGGTGCTGAGGTTTGCACAGGTAAGCACCATTTACAATTTTCATTGAAAATCTAAAAACCTAGCTTACTTTTTACTAAAAAATTAGTATGTCTAGTGTATTTAAGATTTGGCCACATGAAACCTCTGATGACAAATAGGCTAGAAGTAAAACAGAAAAGCAGTTCAAGTTCTAAATGACTTTAAGTGCATTTGATGAATTACCTTTTTACTGGGACACCGTTGTATTTTTCAAATGGCTCCCCATGAGGTGCTTTACATCAACATTCAACTCCATTTGCTCACTTCCCTTTCAGAGTGATTGTATCTCCATCTGCTGAACCCGTCCAGCTCTCTCAATCCACACACCACACCTGCTTTATTTATGAACGTCTGATGTGGTAAGTGGACGACTTGCATCATAGAAAAACCACCTAGTGCGGGTCTAGGTCCCACAGCATTAACATCTGGAGATCCGTTTACAGGGTTTTTCACAGCAGTGTGTGTGTGTGTGTGTGTGTGTGTGTGTGCTGTGCCTTTAAGTCTGAAATCGAGAAACAGGTCTCTGGTTACAACTACAATGTGTTGAATGTGTCTAAAATGAGTATGTATACATTTTTTGACGCATTGAAGTGGCATTGATTAGTTACCATAGTTACCTATTCATTTCTATAGGGAAAAATTACGAGAAATATGCATGAAAATCTGTATATTTGGAGATAAAAATGGCCAGAAAAGTCATGTCTTTTGTACTTCAAAATAAGATAAAAAATTAAATACAAGATAAAATTAAATACAATAATAAATAAATAATATAATAAAATGAATAAATTATTCAAATAAAATAAAAGACTAAAATAAACAAAATAAGAAATATATAAATAATTCAAAAATAAATCAAATGTAAAAATAATTAAAATACAATTTTATAAAATAAAAATCTAAATAAAATAGAACAAGAGTTTAAAAAAAAGTCATAAACATAAATATACGGCGTGATTTAGCTTGGAGAAAATAAATCTTGGTCACAGTAACCTATTCATTTCTATGGTGAAAAATTAAGAGAAATATCAGTGAAATCTGTGTATATTGAGATAAAAAAATACTCTTTTGTTTGAGTTTGAGTATGGTTTTTGTACTTCAGAATGAACAAACGAACAAACAAACAAACAAACAAATAAAACCAAAATAAGAGAATATAAAGATAATAATTCTGTCTATAAAAATAAGCCAAATGCTTTGGGTATGTTTTTTTATTTTGTATTTCTAAATAAATAAATAAATACATACATACTAAAACTGAAAATAAACAAACAAATTAAGATAAATATGTATTAAATAATCCAAAAAGTTTGGGTATGGTTTTTGTACTTCAAAATGAATGAATGAATGAATGAGTAAATAAATAATAAAATACAAATAAAATCTTAAAAACGTATACTTTATTTTAGCTAGTTGCCAAAGCAACATTTGTCATTTGTTTAAAGTTGAACTTGATGTACTAAAATAACTAAACTAAAACGGAAAATGAAAAAATGAATAAAACTATGCAGATTTATAAAAATAAAAAAATAAAAACTCATTAAAAAAAGACAAAAACACACAACAAAAATACTAAAATGAAAATATAAAATATAAAAATAAAAACAAATTTTTAAAACTAAATATTAATAAAAACTATAAAATCTCTTCAATGATACTAAAATAACACTGGTTCAAATGATATACCGAATATTCTGCAACCATATATATAACCCTATTTGTGACATCAGCCGAAAAGGAAAATGGTGCAAACCTTAAAACACTCCTTTTTTTATTCAGAATAATATGCACAAATGAATTGTGCACAACAAGGCCATGAATGTGCATTTTAAAAGTAAATAGGTTAAATAACAAAAAAAGTCAATATGTAAACATTTATTTAGCTATTGGCATTTTAGACACATTCCTCTCACTAGATTCCTGCATTAAAATTCGACCGCTGTTCCCCTCGAAAACAGGCCTGTGTCTGTGTCTGTACTCACACACCAAACACACTGCTCTCCAAACATTTGAAATGTGGCTGTTTTACTGGGCATCCCCTGACATGACCTCGCCAGCTCGCCTTAGACTTGCTCAGTGAGGAGAAATACCTTCATCTTGACCCAAAAATGAGTATAATTCTATATTCACATTAGATTATATAATGACATTAATTCGTTTGGTTTAGCCTGCAGCAGCATTTATGGGCTGACACTGTTGTCATTTGAACCTTTTCCTGTTTTAACCCTGGAGAAAGATTCAGATTATATTCTTAAAATTCTGTCAAACTCGACCTTTTGTCATTTTTGTTAAACCCCACTGCATTTTACTTTCCCACAAAGCTAAAACTGTTCATTTTTTTCCTCATTTGTCACCATCCTGGTTTTTGCAGCTCTCATGTTTTTGGATCAAATTTTACATCATCAAAATACTAAACTGCGTGCACTTTGTAGTTTTAGAAGATGATACACTGTATACTATTGTATTTTAATAATATATTTTCCCAAGTACATTACAATTAGAATACCAAAAGGTTAGGCAGTTTGTTTATTGGCATAATTTCTGCTGGAAACTATGGTCATTTTCTTCTGCTCATCTATAATAACAGGCATTCATTACGGTGAAAATGACAGGCTGAGAGTGGGTTGCCACCCTAAGATTTTTCATAATGACACACAGTCTTCATGGTTTATGGTCTTCATGCTCTTGTTTT